TAGAAAAGGGACCAGTGCCTTGATTGAATCGTATAAGATCATGAAACGCTTTGACAAGGTGGATGTGAGAAAGGTGTTTCCTCTTTCGGGTGAGTCCAGAACTAAGGGACGGAGTTTTAAAATTAGGGGTCTGCCCTTTTTTGAACAGAGACGAGAATCTTGTTTCCCTGAGAAGCTTCCGCACCTCTGAAACTCTCTGCCGCAGAAGGTAGTGGGGGCGGGATCATTGACACTTCTAAGATGTGGATTTTTGTCAGGCAATGGAATCAAAGGGAGTTGACGGGAACATGGAATTCAAAACCCAAATAGATCGGCCATGAAATGTATTCGATGGCGGATCCACCTCGAGGAACTGGCCTAGAGAGAATCTAACTATTTCTGCCAGGCGTTCAATAGCATTACCCTTGCGGAACCCCTCCACTCTCAACACCACTGTGGGAGTCACTAACCAGAAAAAGAATACTACCTGGACTGGAAGGTCGGAGCTACAAGGAGACGCTGGATAGTCTGGGACTTTATCCCTGGAGCATTGGAGACTGTGGTGACGATCCTATGCAGGTCTATAAAATTATGAGAGGCATAGATAAGGTAGATAGCCGACAGCTTTTCCCCAGGTAAGGGAGTCTAAAACTAGAGGGTATAAGTTTAAAGTGAGAGGGGAGAGATACAAAAGGGTCTAGAGGGGCAACTTCTTTCACACAGAGGGTGGTGAGTGTCTGCAACAGGCTGTCCGAGGTACTGGTGGAGGGGAGTACAATTTTGTTACTTAAGAAATATTTAGACAGGTAAATGGATGGAATAGGTATGGAGGGATATGGACCAAACGCAGGCAAATGGAACTAGATAAAATTGGGAAAACTGGGCTGCATGGACAAGTTGGGCCGAAGGGCCTGTTTCCATGATGTAAACCTCTATGACTCTATAATTGAACTGGCTACAAGAGCAGATCAGAGGCTGAGAATTCAGTGACAAGCAACTCACTTCTTGTGGTCCAGAACTCTATCCATTATTCATTATCTACAAGGGAAAAGTCAGAATTGTGATAAAATACCCTCCACTTTTCTGAGTACATGAAGGTCCAACAATATTCAAGAAGCTCAGCCCCGTCCAGGGCAAAGTTGCTACCTCATCCAATACCTTAAACATATCACAGACACACAATAGCAGCAATGTTTACTATCTACAAAACGCATTGCAGAAATTCACCTTTTACAGCACCTTCCAAACCTGGGATCACTACTGTCTTGAAGGGCAAGGGCAGCATATGCATGGAAACACCACCCATTCCCCTCAAACCCGCACACTTGGGAGTATATTGCATTCCTTCACTGTCATTGTCCAAATCCTGTCATTAAGCTTGAATGGATTTGCTGCAGTTCAAAGAGGTGGTTCATTACTGTGTTCTCCAGGGCACTTAGGGATGGGTAATAAATGCTGGCCCAGCATGTATACCGTGAAAATAAAACAGGAAAACAGAATCCTGGGTCTTTTGCTTCCAGCGTTGTCCTTGCCATTAATTCCCAATCTAGGATAAACACTGACAAACCCATAGGCATAGCTGCTCTGTACATGTTACCCTGGTCATTTCAGGTAGAAAAAAATTAGCACCTCCACATCCCAAGAGAAGTCCTGTGCATTCGGAGATGTCAAGTTGCACGTCTTGCCATGGTGCTCATGTCAAGAAGCTATCAAAAGAATGTTTTCTCTTATTTCACACCAGGGCTTAGGGTTTAAATCCCTTGAAATCTCCTTATTACAATAAATTACCTTTATACACCACTTGCCCTGTGGAAGGCTCAGTGGAACACCGTTGGACAAAATTTGACATGCGTCACATGAGGAGATGGTTGAGACTTGGTGAACGAGGCAGGTTTTAAAAGGAGGATGGAGAGGGTGGAGAGATTTTAGCAGAGCTTGAGGCTAGAGAAGCCGTAGCTGAGGCTGCCAATGATATTGTAGGAATGCGGAGATCCCAGAGGATTGTGGGGCAGGCGAAGGCTCCAAGACGTTCCAGGCCCTGAAGGGATCTGAAAATGCGCATGAGGGTTTTAAGAATCCAGGTGTTGCTGGAATGGTAGCCAGCGTTGTTCAGCAAGCACAGGGTTGGCAGGGAACTGGGACTTGGTACAAGGTAAGACGGAGGTAGCAGAGTTTTGGTTGAGCTTGAGTTTACAAAGGGTGCAAACTGGAGGAGGCTGGGCAGGAGTGAATTGAAATAAAGCTACACAAAACGGGGCTGCTCCAACAGCTCAGCGGTTAGCACTGCTGCCTCACAGTGCCAGGGGCCTGGGTTCGAGTCCACCCTCGGGCGACTGTCTGTGTGGAGTTTGCACATTCTCCCCGTGTCTGCGTGGGTTCCCTCTGGGTGCTCCGGTTTCCTCCCACAGTCCAAAGATGTGCAGGTTAGGGCAGATTGGCCATGCTGAAGTGCCTCATAGTGTTCAGGGATGTGTAGGTGGGTTATGGGGATGGGTCTGGGTGGGATGCTCTGAGGGTAGGTGTGGACTTTTTGGGCTGAAGGGCCTGTTTCCACACTGTAGGGGATTCTATGATGAGCTGGTACATGGACTCTCCTTTCATTGTGGGAAACACCCCAAACTTGTTGTAAACTGGTACTCCAAGGAATGATTTCTTCAAAGGCACCATGAAATCAAAAATGCTAATTCTTTTCAATTAGTGCCAGGGTGGTCCTTCCTGTAATATTCCTGCCAACAGTTCTGTCTCCTCCATTTGATCCATTCAGTTCTACCAGTGGTTTCTCTTGAAAGAGACGAGGCTTATCTCTGTCGAACTGAGGTGTGCGCCAGGAAAGGAATGTTGAGGGGAATTTCCAAGCACACAATCTGCTGGGCCAGCACTGGGATACAGCAACCTCCAGCCTGTGTTACTTTAAAACATCTGACATAGTTGGAACCATGCCTGCTCTCGAGTACCAGAAAGAATGATTTGTATTTACATGGAACCTTTCACTAACCCTGTATGTCCCAACGTGCCTTACAACCAGTTATCAATTTTAACTGTTGCACTAATGAACGAGGCGTAGGGCCTAATTTAAGCACAGCAAGCTCCCATAAACATAATGACCCGGTAATCTGTTATTGTCTTTGGGTAAACAATACTTATGACGGAGCTCTTTAGTTCTTTTGGATAGACTGGCCCCGTGAGAGCTAGACAGGGTTTTGGCTTAATGTCTCATGCAATCATTAGCAGTGTCGTCCCCTCTCAGCGTTGCCCTGTAGTGTCAGCCTCGTCGAAGTGTTCACGTCTCTGGAGCGGGGCCTGAACCACCAGGTTGCGACTCTGAGATGAGAAGGGGCTTCGGGTTGGGAAATACCTGCTGAGTAACTCATCCACCGAGTGCATTCACGGTAGAAGAGGGACAGGCCCTAACGTGCAATATGCTCCCAAGGCTTAAAAGTGAGTTTGCCCTTCTGGCCATCTCCAAGGTCTTTGTCCAAATTATGGGCACCATTTCTTCAATAGGCCTCAGTGGGGTACTGGCCATAAACCCTGTTTCCAGCAGGGCAGCTCAAAGAAGATCACAGCTCTCCATAGGATTCAGACCTCTGTGGCAGCAGATAAGGACACAAGAATATAAGAAATAAGAGCAGAGTAGGCTATCTGGCTCCTCGAGCTTGCGCCACCATTCAATAAGATCATGGCCGACCTTTTCGCGGACTTACCTATCTACTCACCATTACCCTTAATCCCTTTACTGTTCAAAAATCTATCTATCTTTGCCTGAAAAACATTCAATAAGGTAGCCTCAACCGCTTCACTGGGCAGGGTATTCCACAGATTCACAACCCTTTGGGTGAAGAAGTTCCTCCTCAACTCAGTCCTAAACCTGCTCCCCCTTATTTTGAGGCAAAGTTCTCTTGTTCTAGTTTCACCCACCAGTAGAAACAACCTCCCTGCTTCTATCTTATCTATTCCCTTCATAATTTTATATGTTTCGATAAGATTCCCCACCTCCCCAACTCATTCTTCTAAATTCTAATGAGTATTGTCCCAGTCTACTCAATCTCTCCTCAGAAGCCAACCCTCTCAACTCTGGAATCAACACAGTGCACCACATCCTTTCCCAAGTAAGGAGACCAAAACCGTACACAGTACTCCAGGTGTGCCCTCACCAGCACCTGATACAGCTGTAACATAACCTCCCTGTTTTTAAACTCCATCCATCCAGCAATGATGGACAATATTCCATTTACCTTCTTAAATACCTGCTGCAGCTTTTTTTTTTCCTTTATTCATTCACAGGATGAGGGTTTCGCTGGCTAGGTAGCATTTATTGTCCATCCCTAATTGTTCAGAGTCAACCACATTGCTGTGGGTCTGGAGTCACATGTAGGCCAGCCCAGGTAAGGATGGCAGTTTCCTTCTTTAAGGGACATTAGAGAGACAGATGGGTTTTATGGTCATCATTGGATTGTTAATTCCAGATACTTATTGGATTCAAATTCTACCATCTGCCGTGGCGGGATTCGAAGCCGGGTCCCCAGAATGTTATCTGGGTCTCTGGATTAACAGTCTAACGATAATACCACCAGGCCATCGCTTCCCGGTACAGACCAACTTTTTATGATTCATGCACAAAGACACCCAGGTCCCTCTGCACAAGCAACACGCTGCAATTTTTCACCCTTTAAATAATAATCCATTTAATAATCGCTACAGATCAACTTTTTATGATTCATGCACAAGGACACCCAACTCCATGTGCACAAGCAGCACGCTGCAATTCTTTACCATTCAAATAATAGTCCATTTAATACCACGAAACTAGTCTGGTAAGGGTCAAATGTTTTAGATAATGCTGGGTGAGGGGGAAGGACAGAAAGATGGCCTTCCCCAGTTAGCAATGTTGAGGAACTGCATTCCATGGCACGGTCAATTTCACCTGCCTGCTGCGAATCCTAGCCTGCGGGTCATTCGGCCCGTCGCGTGTGCATTGGCCTGTTAAACCCTGCCTGGCGCTGGCGGTGGGTTTGGGTTACCTGAGTCCGAGGCGGCCGGGCTGACCAGGCTCAGCAGCTCCTGCTCCTTCTCGTAGTCGCCCTTGCAGAGTAGTTGGCCCTCCTTCAGCACAAACTCGTCTCCTTTCTGGAGCTGCCGCTCGCACACACAGCAGCAGAAGCAGGGCAGGTGATAGACGCTCTTCTGCGCCCTCATGACGAACTCCGTAGGGGCGATCGCCTCCATGCAGCCACTGCACTTGGCTGCAAACAGCCTGCACAGACACAAAGAGAAAGATCCCATTGAATGCTGAGGCTATTTCACACCCCTTGCAGATCAAGCCCTTCACACTGTCAATGCTTCTCTAATGTCGTGATTGCAGCTCGTTTCACCTCCTCACTCTGTCTCTCATCTTTTTGTTTCCAGCTCTATCTTTGCTTCATTTACCCTCCCAGGCTCTGATTCCCTCTCTAGCCCTTCGGTGGGAGTGGGCGGGCAACTTCTCTCTGGGAAAAGAGACCTAAAATTACTGGCGAACGTGCTAACAATCCCATAGTTAATATGGAAAGTCAGCAGTTCGGATGTGGCCTCCGCAGGCCTGTGCTTGCGACCAACAGTTAGCAGACAGGACAATCACGTAGGAGCTTATAATGGGCAACCATTCCACTCTGACTGAATGTGCAGATAAACATTCCCAGTTACCAATACATATCTACAAGAGTGACAGCAAATCAACAGTGAGAATTGGCAGCAACATTTAGATATTGTGATAACTATAATATTGCACTCGGTATGACTAGCGGCAGAGATTTATATTCACAACTGAATACAAAGTTGTGTCCTCGACCCCATTTGGTCAGCTTTTCCTCGTAAACAGCCACTTTCTTTCCTTACGAAGACAACCACACAGCTACAACAGGCTGGGTACCAATTCCCCTCCGACTGCAAAAGTCACTGAAGCAAAACTCCAGTGGACACACTCAAAGAAGCATAAAATACTGCAGATGCTGGAAATCTGAAGCAAACACAGAACGTGCTGGAGAAGCTCAGTATCTGTAGCGAGAGAAACAAGAGTTAATGTTTCGAGTCCTGTATGACTCTTCCTCAGAACCGAAAGACATTGGAAAATAGCAGGTTCTTGAATTGTTCAGGCCTTCTGACCTTCTCTGGCATTCTCTGTGTTTGTTTCAGATTTCCAGCATCTGTGGTATTTTGCTTTTATTCAAGCATTTAATTCCACTTCTCTTCCAGGAACACCCACCTTGAAGACCTGCTCTTCTCTCTGGCAGGATTTCCATTTTAATCTTTCGGCTCGTTCAAAACTATAAAACCTACCATTTTCCGACGGCTTCCGATTTTGAAGAAGAGTCATATTGGACTCGAAACGTTAACGCTGTCTCTTTCTCCATATATGCTGCCAGACCTGCTGAATTTCTCAGTATTCTCTGTGTTTGTCCCAGCATTTATATCTGTCTTTACATTTACAACAACCCCCCCCCCCCATTCAACAGTGACAAGATAACGTCTTTTCCTCATCAAGTATTTCAAGCACTCTTACTCCACCCATATGACATTGGATCCCAATTGTAATGGATGAGGTTCTCCAAGCTGAGATGAAATCTATTCATTTTGCATTATTTGCGAGGGTGCATGGTAGGTGTTGGGAGCCAGAGTAATTATACACCTTGTTGGTGGGGGAGGAAGGAGAAATGATCCTTTGGTTGACTGGAGATTGCAATGTTTAAGGTTCTGTGCTGAATGACAGAGGATTGATGCATCTGACCGTCCTTCAGAACAATGGGGTGGAACCCTGCTGGGAGGTATTAATGGGGCAGATCAGTTTCAAGGGTCCACACATCTGAAGCGCTGCCAGTAGCTACTTGCTAAGATGTATAGGCCACAGAGAAGTCCTGGAAGACATTGTTCACTGAATGTTTCTAAGCGAGAGAGAGAGAGATCAGGGAGGCCCAGGAATAACAGATTGTCTGAGAAGTTGGGACTTTGCGTGTGTTTAGAAACTGGGACTTTGACCAACAAAGTGGGCGTCCGTGTTGGAATGGGATCTCGGGTGGAGGTCAATTTAATAAATAGAAAACCAATAGGGATGAGTCTGTGTATAGATTCGAGAGCAATCTGGAGTAGTGTACCTTTTGGGTTAAGTTTGTATCTGTGGAACTTGCATAGAGCAGATCTGTTGTCAGCTAGGGATCAGACTAGATCTTTGCAGGAGAGCAGCGAGAATTCTTCACAAGGAAGACAGGAGTGGAACAAATTTTTGTAACTCTCAGAGAAGATTGATGTCCGGGTTGGTTGCTGAGAGATTCATGGGATCTGCCTTGGTTGCACCTGTGCAGAATTGTGTTGTGTTCATCCAAAGTTTCCTTGTGAATCCATGTTGACTTTGCGGTAATTCTGGAGGGATAGCAGATAATTGACTGTTTTATTTGTTATGATGTGGAGGTGCTGGTTTTGGACTAGGGTGGACAAGATCAGAGGTCACACAACACCAGTGAAGTGACTTCACCTGACAAAGCAGCAGATCTCCAAAAGCTTGTGATTTCAAATAAATCTGTTGGACTTTAACCTGGTGTCATGCAAATTCTGATCTTGTTTTATTTGTTAGCTGGCATATAGTAACATTTTTTCCTTAAAGCAATGGAATTTTGTGGCTTTATTCTCTTGGTGAGTACCTGGGATTTCAAATTTTCATTAGAAGGCTACTGGTCACTAATCAAATTTGCAAATCCAATCCAAAATTTGCTCCAGTCTGGAATTATAGCAAGACATTCTGTTACCCACCCGTCAATCACACGTTATACTGAAGCATCCATCCCATTCAGAACTTTGCTCTGCTGCTAACTCAGAGTAGCTTTGTCTTTTCGTGGTCTCCTATTTAGCTATCCTCCTCCAAACCAGCGAAAAGGCTGGTCTCATTTGGAAAGCAGATGTTCCATGTGATCCCAGGATTATAGGCTGTGAGTATACAATAGCTAAGCCTCAAATTAAGACTTGAGATTACTGCCACTATGTGAGATAGCCTACTGCTGACAGCAGTTAACGCTCTCACATTTATTGCCTGCAGACACATGGCCAAGAAAATAAATTGCTTAACAAAGTATTTTTACAAAGGCTCCGTGTCAGCGATCAGGTCTCTGAACCATCCAGCTCTGATTCACTGAGTTACAATCTGCGTAGAGTTATCTCAATGAGCAGGTTGGGTGAGATCTAAAGAGAGGGAAGTCAGCCGTGAATTCCTGCTCCTTGAAAACCACTTGGAAAATGCGCAAGAGATGGAGCAGTGGAAACGAGTGGAATGGTGAGTGTGTGGATGAGAACAAGAACAGGGATTGTCTGTGATGGCCGCTGTAGGGGAACAGCCATGGTGCTACTTGGGGTCATAAGTATGGCTCATGGATGCAGAATGGCAAACTGAGCAAGACTACAGAGTTGTCTGTAGCCACGGAAACAAAGGTCCCAGCAAGATCCAATATCTCTGGGAAAGAATGGGAAAAAGATTTGGGACAGGGAAGGAGACTCAGTCAGGAACGAAGACGGGATTGAAAGCTCTCAGGTTAAGCAGTGTGAGGAGCAAGTTCTCTTTAACCACACTTGGTCTGCCCCAAACCAAGCCCACCATCATATCACCCTGATGGACGCAGGTCTACTCATACTGCTTACTCTTGGGTTCCCACTCCCTAGAATTATGGCTACACTGTTCGCAAATAGAGCCAAGAACACAAAAGAAAACCGTTGAGAATTCAGAAAAATAAATACAAGCCTGTTGCAAGTCTACGAGTGCTTCCATACACCCTTTCTAATTAAAGAGACACACAGCAGCTTTTGATTCCAAGTTAAAAGAATCTTCTTTCAATACCTGAGTGATTGATGTTAAATTAATACAGGTAAATCAATATTTTATAGGATGTAATTATTATTTTGCTAATGATTGCATATATAGTGTAAATCTTATCCACTGTCTCAATTACAGTCTGTAGTATTCATATTTAATATAGTTGTCCTCATCAAACATATCAGATATTCACATCAGATATATCCTCCAACATCAACAGACTGCAAAGGAAGTGGCATTTATCCAGCTTATGTTTATCTCAGTGTCAACTCCTGTCCATGTACAGTACATACTGGATAAAAGGGGATTGATTCAGTCCTGTCTGGAACTGTGTGTGTGTGTGTGTGTGTGTGTGTGTGTGTCTCAGTGTCAGTTCCTGTCCATGTACAGTACACGCTGGGTGAAAAGGGAATGACTCAGCCACATTTGGCAAAAATTCTACAATGTTAAATAGCAGCACAACTTGAGCCTCTGTGTCATAGTGCGCTGACGATGCAACTTTCCATACCTATCTGTGTGTAACGTGTGGCATGCGGTTACGGTCCAGGTTACCATCTCCTTGAAAACTGGCCCCTCCCCCGCAGAGCTGAATGTCAGTCCGATTTAAATTACAGGAGATCGACAGGAGAAAATGCAGCCTTACAGAGTCCCCGCTCGCCCAACATGTGTTATTAGCTGCGTCGCCATGGAGACGGCAAACCCAGTTTAATAAAAAGAAAATATGCTTCTTCGGACCTACACCGCACCCCCCTCCACCCTCCCCTTTAATCTGTTTAATCGACCCTCGCTAATCTGTTTAAGAAGCTGCTGCATTGTCAAATAAGCAAGTGTGGAATTTCTTCCGCAGCCCGAAGCTTAGCAACAGTGCGGGGGAGGGGAGGGAGAGTGACAATATTTAAACATCTGATTAATGAAACATGACTCGCAATCAATCATCCCTAATCACGAGTGCCGGATTACGCCGAGCTGGTTTTTGGATTTCCATGAGCAGGGCGGAGAGAGAGAGAGAAGGGCTGGGTAGGGTTCTAGGTGGGGCATGGAGAAGCATTGCCCAAGTTCAGACTTGGTGCCTGAGGTGAATGAGTGAGGCGAGATAGCCAAGATCAGACACCCCCACCTTCGATGCCGCCGGCTGGCACTGCTGCCTCACGGCACTGGGGACCCGGGCTCGATTCCACCCTCCGGTGTCTTGTCTGTGTGGAGTTTGCACATTGTCCCCCGTGTCTGCGTGGGTTTCCTCCGGGTGCTCCGGTTTCCTCCCACAGTCCAAAGATGTGCAGGCTCGGGTGGATTGGCCATGGGAAATGCAGGGTTACAGGGATGTGGATCTGGGTGGGATGCTCTTCAGAGGGTCATTGTGGACTCGATGGGCCGAATGGCCTGCTTCCACACTGTAAGGATTCCATGGGGCTAGTCACAAATGA